CTCTCTCTCTCTCTCTCTCTCTCTCTCTCTCTCTCTCTCTCTCTCTCTCTCTCTCTCTCTCTCTCAACTGCCGCTTGTAACCATCTTCCCTGCAGCCAAGGGTGCGCTACGAATCCTATTCTCCTCGAGAGGCGACTCTTTGTTGTTCTTCTTCTTACTTGATGATCAGGCTATGGATGGGCACTAAGTTATGGATAACCGCACCTTATTTCCTTCTCCATCTTAGCCCCTGAGGTAAGGGAGTCGCCTTGAAGTTGCCCTTCGGGACATCCCTTAAATCGTAATGATACAAGAAGATTGATTAGCACGGCCCCTGTGCAAGGATGACACACACAAATCGAGAAATGGTTTCAGAAAGGAAAAAAAAAAGCAAGGAGTCGCCTTTAGTACCCCAAGTCTGAAAAAGTTAAGGTCGCAATATGACCCCAGGAATAGAAGAAACATTCAGAGCAGCCACGTGGCGGACAATCAGACGCCAAGAATAGGGATTCATTCCGAGGCAGAGGAAGACCCGCGCTAGCAACACTCTGGTCTTCAAAGAATCAATGTCAGGATGGCACGGTCGCCCGCTGACGTTTGTTCGCCATATCGAACGGCCATACCGACACAAAGAGAGTAGTAGTTCGGACCGGACGGGTCAATAAATACCGTAGTACGCCACATGGAGGCAAAAGAAGATTCTGTCAGAGAGAGGAGTTGGCAGACGAGGGAGCTAAGGAGTCGAGCAGTGAGGACCGAAAAAGTACATGGGCGAGAGAGGGAGGAAGGAGGGCTTTGAAGGGTTGTCACATGCCCTACGTAGCCCCGGGTCACACGCCAGGAGAAGGAGAGGAAGGAAAAAGACAGTATTCCTTATATCTTGAGCCAGATGCGCTCTCTAGGGCGGCGATAGGGAGGGGTCCAAATCCCAAAAGCTCAGCAGGTGGGTTTTTTTTTTTTTTTTTTTTTTTTCGGGGGGGGGGGTTTCCAGATTGCCGAGAAAAAAAAAAAAAAAAAAAAAAAAAAAAAAGATTGCCGGCATCTGTGTGGTGTGTGTTGAGTTTGGACACTACAGCCTTGCAGGGGGGGGGCAGATAGCACAGCCACCTTGTCCTGGCTGTAGTGGTCACAATACTCTTGAGGCCCTGTCTCTTATACACATCTAGATGTGTATAAGAGACAGGCACCCCACTGTGCTTGTGTGCTGTGTCTGTGCTAGATTTCCGCACTCGCACTGGGACTTTTTCCTCGACGCTGTGGACGTAATTGCGGTCACGTTCGCGCAGCTTGGGCTGTAATTGCGGTCAGATGCATTTCGGAAAGTGCTAGTGTGAGTCTGCGCTCAGAAAGCACAACTGCGCGGTAAAATTGGCCGACTTCCGGCTAACTCAGAGACTCGCTCCACTATTCAACACACTGCATGCACTTGGTTTTCTGACGGGACCAGGTGCGTTTGGAAGAGTCCAACATTTGAAATGTATGGAGATGATTATGAGCTCGTGTAGTGCAGCGAGGCCCTTAGTCCAAACATAGTATTCATGATAGCTTAGGGTTGGACCTCACAGCCGCACGATTTTCGTCCTTCCCACCGCCGACGGCAATTTTCCTTCGGCAGCGGAGAGGCGGAGTTGGAGGGGATCTCACGGTGCCCCTTTTTTTTTCATCCCCGGTCGTTTCGGTTTCCCGAAGAGGGAAGTGGCAGAGGTCTTTCCAATTTGGGCAAGGTGTTATGGGCGTTCGGTGAGGCTGGTGTGGACCTGGGTACAGGACGCCATTCCATGCGGCTGTCCTTGGGCGACGTTGTGTGGTCGTGGGTGAGGCAGCACCCCGCAGAAGGGGCCGACTTTGGTTGGGGAACCGATGCAGCCCTTTTGCGACCGTTGGTCAGGGCCGTTGTGGGCCGGTTGTTCCAGGGGACATTTCAAACATTGTCGACCTTCTTGTTTGTATCCACGGTGGAACCACGGGATTCCACGGTCCCACCTGGGAAAGTGCGAAGGCGATGTGGGGCGCAGTGAGCATGCTCTCTCGGAGTCCATGGCTCTTTCGGGCAACGCACCCGTGTTCGTCACACTTGATATGTCCGCCATAGCCGGTCGTTGTTGTAGGTCCCGCCTGCGGACTGGGGTATCACTGCTCTCGTGCGTGTCTCTGTTGTCTGCGACATTGGCCCGTGTTGTGGGGGGGGGGAGGGGAGGTTGTGCACCGTTGTGAAGCCCATGGACAGCGGTGTGGAAGACGTTGGAGACTGGGCAGGGCGAGGTGTGGTAGGCGACAATGAGGTTGACGATGATGGCCATTTGTTCAGGTTGTTTTTATTGTTATACAGTTGGTTATGCAGCGGAACAGTGCGGCTCTTGCTGTTCTCAATGCTGCGACTTCATCCTGTCCAGCTGCACACCCTGAAATGGGAGAGGTTCTTTTGCTCCTCGCTGGGGGCTTCCTGCACAGCGTTTCCCTTGTGTCCGCCGCCGTGGACAGCGTGAACAACCGATGGAGGAGACGATCCAGGAGTATATGGGTTCTGGACCGCCAGGGCGGGACGTGGAAAGATCTCCAGAAGGTCGGTGAGGCTCATGACAAGGTCTTCGTCCGGTTCTGCAGACTCCCTCGACCACTCTTCTATGAAGTTGCACAACGAATAACGCCACACATTTAACGGAAGTTTACGAATTGGAGGCAGCCAATTCCAGCTGCACAGAAGTTCGCGTGTGCGTTGATCAAATGGGCCACAGGAGGCTATTACCGGCAGACGAGCCACGGGATGGGGATGGCTCTGGCGAGTGCGTTAAGGAGTAAGGAGGACGTTGTGGACGCCCTCATCAACGAGTACGGCCACCTCATAAGCTTCCCAGACGTTCGCTGTCTGCAGGAAAGGATTCCCAGGGTGCGTGGGTGCGATCGATGACACACATCTATACATCGAAAAGCTAAAGAACACGCAGGCAGAATGTTACTACGACCGCACGAGGCAGTTCTCGCTTGTGGCGCAAGTGGTGTGCGATCACGAGCGCAGGATCCAGATGTTTTCGTGGGTTGCCCTGGATTGGTGCATGACTCACGTGCTGTCCGCATATCACACCTCTATAGGGATGCGTAGGACGGGCGTGGGATATTCCATGGTGGCACATCCTTTCTTCATGACGGCACACCTGTCCGCCGCTACGTTCTCGGGGACGCAGGGTACCCATTGCTGCCTTGGCTGATGACATCGGTTGGAGGAGACGAGCGCACGCCCGAAGAGGTGAATTTCGACGATTGCCACACGTCGGCGAGGAGTTGCATTGAACGCATGTTTGCAGTTCTAAAGGGTGTGTGGAAAAATTTCTTGAGGCGGCAAATCGGCAACATGAAGACGAAATTGACAACATGAAGACGATCATGAAGGAGTTCATGGTCGTCTGCATCTTGCACAATATGATGGTCGACATGCGAATTGACGTCGATTTGGATGACCTTGACTCGGACGACGACGACGATTAAGCAAACTATGGAAACTTTCGTTGTCGACGACGTCCACGTGTCCAGCAGCCTCGGAGGAACCGTCGGGACGGCACATACGGTAGCGTCGAGGGCAGGGCGGCGAAGGCGAGGCTCATCTCGCACGTCAATCACCATGTGCGGGTGCATGGCCGACCACCTGCCAACCCCTGGAAACGAGCGCGAGCTGCATTGTAGACAGAAACGAGAAAGGACGACGGAATGTTATCCCTCTTTGTCTCTCTCTCTCTCTCACGCAACACACACACACACATATACATACATACGTAGGTAGGTAGAAGAAAGGTAGATATATAGACAGATAGATAGATAGATAGATAGGTAAATAGAAAAATAGGTAGGTAGGTAGATAGATAGATAGATAGATAGATAGATAGATAGAATACACATTTCGTTAAAAGTGAACCTTTTGATTGTTCACTTTTTGTAACAAAGTCGAAATTCATGTTGGAGCGACATAAATAAGAATAAATCGAAACAATCATTGGTAAATGTTGCTAAGTGGGCAGTGATATGGGTCAACTGCCATTGCTTGGAGTACTGGACCCATCACACACACACACACACACACACACACACACACACACACACACACCACCCAATCCCAACCACCCCAGCACACCAACGGTGTTCGAAGTTCTCCCTTGTAGGCTATCTTCACGGTAGCCTTTTGGAACGGCCTTCGCTCGACAACTCAGAATAAACTCCAGGTTTGTTCGAGTGCTGCGGGCCCATCAACATGCAAATTGTGCGCTTGATTATGGGCACTGCATAGTTCGTAGTGAGCGGGATACGTACTTCAGCCCTCTCCCCCCCCCAGTGTGCCGGTTCGCGAGCCGGACCGCATTATATGAGATTGCAACTAAATTCGATCACCCATGGCATACCCGTTGTCGACCCC